GTCCTGGGACGGCAGGCGAATCATCTCTGGGTGCTGCTGGGTGTCGTTCTGACGATCCTGCAGCATTCACTACTGCAAGGGATGAAATTGGTGCCTTTGGCTTTATACCAAAAGCCGTTACTCCCTGCTGCATCTTTGCCAGTGGGGCTGGGAGCTCTGCCATACTGGCTAACTGGAAAGGGACACTCCCAGGCGAGTGTCCTGGTCTGCGGCAATTAAAACACATACGCCGCCTAAGCTGCTTCTGGACTTTCTTCGAATGGGCTGCTGTTGCTCGGCACTCAGAAGTGTTGTGGGTAATGCTCCTGTGGTGCGCACACCATCGACGATGCACTGGAGCAGTTCGTAGGGGTGACTTTTCTATTGCAGAACTGGCGTAGAAGTCTCTTGCTCGAGATGGTCGTTCAGGATAATGTTGAACAGGTTGATCCTCGTCTTTGGGCACAAGTAAAGCTGGTCTCTCGTGCGAGGTGTCCTGTTGCAGAGGAGCATGGCCCGGTTGTTCACTACACTGCCTTAGTGATGTGGAGAATGCAATGGTCATGAATAAGCTCCTGGGAAGTGGCTGCAGTGGACAAAGCAATGGTGGAACCCTTGCCGGACTACAAGTTCTGTGGCTGAACTGCTGCGAATCCGATGGTGGTGCAGCTTCCTTCTCGTAAATCATTTGTTTCAGCTCCTCTAACTCACGGTCTTTCTGCAGCAGCTGGTGATGCAAAACAGTCACTTCGTCCTCATGGCTGGTCGACAATTGTGAACAGCTGCTGGACCCATCTCCCAGAGATTCAGCATCTGACTCAAAAACCTTGGATTTATGCCGTGAAATATGCCAGGCAACTGTTAGTTGAAGCTGTTGAATTTGATCCTTCACTTCCCGAAAATCTGCTGACAGGGCCTCGATCTTCTGAAAAATGAAGGTATAAATGCTGACGTCATCCCCCATCACTCGTGCACTTCCATTCATATCTGGAGAGGAATAAGTCACAGCGAGAAAGTAATTTAGCTAAACAGTGTACCTAGTAATAATTTCACTTAGTTCGGTACGAGGCGCACTACTGC